TTCCGGCTTTGAACCTTTCCTTAGTGAGTTTATCGCCACCTGAGGGACATAATGGACTAGGCCTTGAATTAGGCCCCTTGAATCAGGTATTGATAAAAACATGATAAAAACACACACAATACGTCTTTATCTATTGAGCAAAGCGGGTTGAGCGTTAAAGGTCATGCTCACAATAACTGACTCATGAGAGTTTCTAGGGGTTAGCCCAGCCCCCCCAACCGTGGCCATCACGGTTTCTCTCACGTAGGTAAGTCCTCAAATGGTACTACATCTGTTTATTTAATACCCCCATAATACACACATTGGACTTATTAAGAGTAAAACTTAGCCTAGCCAGCTGTATCATAAGAGCATCGTCATCATAGAGAAGGGGTAGTAGCACAAGCTATATAGTGATATATGAATATATCTGGATCGATGCTCCACACGAGTGTCACTAGTCCAGCTTGTTTCTACCACATTAAACCAACATTGGGACTACGTCTCCAAATAAGGGTTGGGTTGCCGCTGTCAGTGACCTCTCTTATGGGCTTAACCTCATCTCCCTCGATGAATCCAGAACCACACTCCTGGATAGTCCCTTAGTCAAAAGGTCAATAAGATTCTTTTTAAGACTTTACAAAGTCTAGAATCACAACTTTGCCTAGTAGGCGTTGTATATATTTATCAAGTTATTTTATAATTAGTCCTTTATTTGACATTAAGTCCTCTTCTTGTTTAAGCCGTTTTTTAAATCAATCTTTCCAGGAAAGAGTACAGGTAGCAAGAGAAGGGATTGATTTGAAACAACTTACAAGGATAAAGGGACCTAATAGCAATTTTAATTATTTGATGGACTAATTTTAATATAACTTCAGTGATTTTGAACTTTTATTCATCATATAGATAGAAGATATAAGATATACCTCTTGATTTGATTTTCCAGGACATTGATTCATCACATCTCCTGTAACTAGGCATATTAGTTGACAGAGCATATTTATATCAACTCTAATCATTTCCTGAAATCTCAAGAGAAAGCATTACATGTAGTTAAATGAAGAGCTATAAAAATTACTCTTTCTAGTCAATATTAAAATGATAGGACATCAAAACATGTTAGCATAAAAGGTTATGGTCTATTATCATAAAAATCATAGTCTATGTCTGAGTATGTAACTGCATAGAGTTTGTGCATATTAGAATTTGACCTTAATATCTGAATATTTCAAACTAATATGAAACTAAAATACTGTAGTTATATCTTTACATGCATGCATATGCACATACATGAATGAAATTACTAATAGTTACATGCAAAGCATTCAAGAGAACCTTATAATATGATTTCATATCTTAAAGTATATTTCATATTTCATATGCATAAATTTTAAATTCTCGTATTATAAGAAGTTGCAGATTTATTGCTTATAAGGGAGACTTTCAAATTTAAATCGGTTGCCAACAAAAGAGACTTCCAAATTTAAATTGGTTGCCTATAAAAAAGAATTTCTAAATTTAAATTTATGCATATGAATTATTCTCATAATTCTGGTCCTATTATTCATGCTTAAGTATAACATGTTTCATATGGAAATATAACAATTATCAAATAAAAGGGTTTAAGAATATACAACTTACCATTTGATATGGATGTGCTATTAGTATCAATCTTGAGTCCAACTCTGGTATTGACTTCTTTAAGTTGGTTTACAATGAGTTTGGTATACATCAATTAATGAATTGAAGTTTTTCAAAATCATATTAGCAATATTGCTCATGTATTTTGACAGGAAATTAATTAACAATGGATTCACACAATAAACATTTGGTAACGGTTTCCTTCCTTGCGATTGATAAAGAAAAAAGGAATTAACAATAAATAATACATTTGAGCATTTATGTTAGCAATTACATAGTCATATTAAGCATAATTTATTATTGTGACTGATGTAAATACAATACTTTAGGAGGGAAAGTAATTAGATTAGATGAACAATAATAAAATTGCTTAATAAACAGAAAAACTTCCCTGAGTGAACAGTAACCCTTGGTGAATAGTAACAAAATTTTCATTTTTAAAAAAAAATTTAATAGCAACTAAATTAAATTATTAGTTAACAAATAAACAAGAGCAAGTAAAGCAAATTACAACAATTTAACTATTATTAATTTTCTCTTTTTTTAACAAAAAGAAATATATATTTTTCTGGATGAATAGTAAAAATGATGAACAGTACTTTTAATATAAATTCTTTCCGGATTAAAAACAAAAGCTATAAACTTTTCAATCTTCTAGATTATTGGAAAAAAAATCAAATAAACTTAAATTAGCATGTAAATTAAATCCGAATAAAAATAAATAATTAAATCTGGTCTGATTAGGAGCAGTTATGTAATCATTGCCCTAGAAGATTGAGGACCCGCGTATCGCCCTGACGCAGATGATCCCCTTTCTCCTAGTGGTAAAAACCCCCGGAATCAGCCGGCCTCTGTTCTCGGACGAGAGTATAAAGCTTTTGCTCAGATAAAGAAAGTTGCCCAAAAATAAAACCAATACTATGAAAAAATAATATGAAGAGGAGAGAAGAGACTTGTTCTTTTCCTTATCAAAACCGAGCTCAAAATACGATTATATATATATGGTGCTGGAAAGAGACGTTACAAAACCCGTAATTAATACGGTAACATTTGTCATAAATTTTGTAACGTTCCCCATAATTATATAGCTGTTACACATATTTTTAATTGCTAATTAAAACATGTTTTAATTACAAAAATTTATTACTATTCATGAAGGCAAAATTGTCTTTTCTTAACAAAATATCTAACAAATACACTCATTCAAATGGGGGACCACATTCACATGAGTTGAGCAGTGCATGAGGATATGCAACCATTTGAATGAGTAGAGGGGATTATGTCACATCACTACCAAACACAACTTTTTGTGCTTGGTACCAAGTATACCTATTTTTATATGAGAAAAATGGATATGCTTGGTACCAAGCACAAAAATTTATGTTTGGTAGTAAGGTGACATAATCGTTTTCACTCATTCAAATGATTACATATCCACATGCACTCCTCAACCAATATGAATGTGGTTCCTCATTTGAATGAGTGGAGGGGATTGTGCCACCTCACTACTAAGCACAAAATTTATTTTTGGTACCAAGCATACCTATATTTCTCTCTCTCTCTCTCTCTCTCTCTCTCTCTATATATATATATATATATATAGGGAAAAGTGAATCTAAGGTGACACCCTAGGCTCCCACCTAAGGACACGGTCTAAAATCACATCATTTCCTAAATTTTTTTACGATCCGCTCCGTTGAACTTGATCTACACGTTCTTAAACCTAAACACACCAATTTTAGGGTAAACCTATAGTGTTTTGACCCTTTATCCACTCGCTGCAAATTTAACGGTTTCGAATGAATAGAACTTTTTGCACGGCTCAACGAATGGTCAAAACACAACGGGTTCACCCCAAAATTGGTGTGTTTGGGTTTAAGAACGTGTAGATCAAGTTCAACGGAGCGGATCGCAAAAATATATATATATATATATATATAGGGAAAAGTGAATCTAAGGTGACACCCTAGGCTCCCACCTAAGGACACGGTCTAAAATCACATCATTTCCTAAATTTTTTTACGATCCGCTCCGTTGAACTTGATCTACACGTTCTTAAACCTAAACACACCAATTTTAGGGTAAACCTATAGTGTTTTGACCCTTTATCCACTCGCTGCAAATTTAACGGTTTCGAATGAATAGAACTTTTTGCACTGCTCAACGAATGGTCAAAAAACAACGGGTTCACCCCAAAATTAATGTGTTTGGGTTTAAGAACGTATAGATCAAGTTCAATGGAGCGGATCATAAAAAAAATTTAGGAAATGATGTGATTTTAGGTCGTGTCCTTAGGTGGGAGCCTAGGGTGTCACCTTAGATTCACTTTTCCCATATATATATATATATATATATATATATA